CCTCGCCACCTGTTGAGGTGGGCTTAGGGTTTTAGGGTCTTCGTGTCTATGGTTTTGAGGGTTTCGAGGTGAGGATATGGTCATTTCTCCAAATGCTGACCATCCAAAATGTGCCGCGGAATGCGTGTAGTGGGAAGAGGTCACCTAGCGTCCGAGATAACAAAACACTCCCATGCAGGAGGCAGCAAGTAGTATATTCGCCTAGCGAACGCGCTAGCACACCTTCAAAACAGTTCAGGGCGGATGATTTCTATGAAGGCGTATAGGGGTTGACGTTGAGTCTCAACGAGGTTGAAAGCTTCGGATTTGGCGAACCCAACCCCGAGGCCGACAAGCCTTTAGGCCTGGGTCTGGTGACCGACTGTCTGAGAAACCCAGGTTCGTGCACATTTTGCTGGCGCCCTACTAGCCAGGTGCTAGCACCAGCAACCCACTGTTTTCCAGCCCCAAACTGCGCCGAGAGTATGTTTGTGGCACGGTGTTTTCGGCACCTGCGCTTGTCAAAACCATGATTCCTAACGGCTCGCAAAGGGGGCATTGGGCACAATGGTTGCCAGCCCAAAACGCACCACCACCGCGTTTCGCTAGGTACTTTGGAAAATGCAAGAAAAGGATTCCGCATGCCATAATATGATTCTTACCGCCCCGGCTCGACAGGGAGGTTGGGAACAATGGTTTTCAGCCGCAAGCCCTGCCCCTTCTCGGCCTTTGCTTGATCAGACCCTGCTCTTTTTGTTTGGATACGAAGCAACACGGGTCATCCGGACGGCCATCATTCTCGAGCCGTGGCTCTTCTCACAGGTGACCGTCCATGGAAGATGTTACAAAGCTAACTTGAGGCGAAATGCCTTATTCTTGTCCTTTCTTTCTGTCCACGTTGGTGTTTAAGGAACTCTGTTGAGGGGCCGCCTCATAACGAAGACATAAACTTGATGCAGATCATGGTTCGTGTGCCTTTCTGTCAAAAAAGACAAGCAAGGCTTTTCGAGAGAACTTACCATATGTGTCGGGTTCCATAAGGCTTGTGCTTTCTTTGGGCGGCTCACAGGCTTTTTGCTTGTCAGATGCTAAGGGTTGGACCTGGCCCTCATAGCGAGCCTGCGTGGCTGGCCCATCCTCCTCGAACCTCGGCACGCTGACGCAATCCGGCACAACGCCGCCTGACACCGACGACTCAGGCTCGAGATTAGCAGGAGCCCCTCACAAGTTGAGGTGCACAAGGCTCGGAAGCCTCTGATGCACTTCTACTACTTCTCAGCTGCAGGAAGATTCAACGCCACACGCCAGCAAGAGACCCTTGGAGCGCAAGAGGCGAGTCGAGAGCCCGGCGCAAACTTTGGCGTCGCAGCAGCTCCTCACAGGGTCTCATGGCCAGCAGCTTTCGCTTTGCGGGGTCCCGGCCCTCTCAGAACATGTGCTGTGAGAGGCTGTCAGAATATGACAGCTTCTGGAGCTTTGGGGGGATTCGGCGATTACAGGGTTCCCCATTACCCCCCCCATTACCCCCACCATTACCCCCCTTATTACCCCCCTGGTACAGCGACCTGGGACACGGAACCTGTAGGGCAGGTAGAGGTGTCAGGTACTTCCCATGAAGCTCCGAGAAATACACTCCGCACATGGAATCCTACGCCTTTTCACCCTTGATTCAACCCTAAACTTCAAACGAGTCCAGGTCGCCTGATGCTGCGCTGGGAGGTGGGGAGGACACGCTGGGAAGCGGCTCCTGGCGAATGCAGTTGACCTAGCCTTGTTCATCGTGGAGGGTTCAGCTTTTCGGGGCCTTCAAGCCCCCAAACCCGAAACCCCAAAACCCTCAAGGCATACGGATTTGAGTTGGCTACAAGGGCTCGAAGTGGGCTGTCCAGACTGTGCGGGCTCTGACAAAGGCTATAAGGGCTGTGGAGAAGGGCTTTAAGCCCCTAAAGCCCTGAACTCTGAATTTCTGCGCTGGACAAAAGTTCCGCCTCATATGGCTCCATCGGCTGCTCGACAAAGTCCTCCCCGGCGCGCCCAGGTTTGTGGGGCTTGCAGGGTTGTAGAAGGGCTTATGGGGCTCAATAGGATTTATAGGGTTCATAGGGTTCGTGGGGTTTTTGGGGTTTGGTTTATAGGGTTTTATGGGGTTTGTGGAGTTGTTTTGCACTTTGTGGGGTTTATGAGGTTTAGACTCCAGTAAGCCAGAAGCCCAAGATCACAGAAGCCCCCGCTGGATACTAGGTTTGGCCTGTCAACCCTTTGTTTTCTAAACAACCATGAAAGGTACTCTTACACCCAATAAGGGGACGTTGTTTACACGAAAAAGCATGTCAGCGTGTACTCTTCATAAATACATCCCAAGGGCCTACCCGATAACGTGTGCTCGTGCTCCAGCATTATGAGCAGACGGCCCCCGGATTGTAGAGAGTAAGTCGAGGCTCTTGGGCTGTCGGGATTCGGCTTGGGTACTCCTAGTGACCCACCAAGCGCGCAGAAGAAGCTCAGGATTTGGGCCGGGGACAAGATGTAGTACAGGCCTGTGTCGGGCGTGGGCCCTCTGGCTAAGCCCCGCACTCGCAGCGGACGTCCACCTGAGCAGCGATCCATGTGATTCCATTTGGGGAGGCATGGAGTGTAGGCTCTCCGAGTTGGAATGGTGCGGGTCAACGGTTCTTGCCCCAACAAAAACATAAAAGTTGGGGGCTTTGGAGGTTCATGAATTCGGGGACTTGGGCACTGCCCCGCCTGCATGTCGGCGTGGCTTGGTGATGTTGGAGATGGCTGCACCCTGCTGCACCTGCTTTCGCTCACGCAGGGCTCCGTGCGCTCGAGGGCCTTGGGGGCCTTCTTGTGGGCCTGACGGTCTCTCACATATTGAGGCTTGCATACTTCTCCAATTTTTTTGGCCCGGGCGCCTGCAGACTGGTCAAAGAGGCCGGAGGGGATGAGCAGGTTGAGCCACCTCACCGCGATCTCGGAGTTCAAGGTTCAAGGTTCAAGGCCTATCGCAGGCCACAGGTCTCGGCAAGATGCGCTTCAAGGGCGTGGCCAGAAAAGCTCCCGGCGCCGAGCTGATACTGCCGGCGCTGGGCCTCCTCGGCTGAGTCTTCGAGGTAACGCCCGGCAAGGAAGGTGGAAAGCCAAAGAAGCCTCATGACACCCAGGCAATCAAGTTCTCAGCACCGAATCTTAAGTATATGCCGGGCTGCCGAATCCTAAAAAACAAAGCCGCAAAGAACACCTAATGCGCCCTCTGCAACTCTCACTAGGCAACATACCGAACGGCAAGCCCCAAACTCTGAACACGAAATCCTCGCCCCAAACCCCGGAGCTTGGATATCTCATGTCCCTAGATTTTGAGGTACCCCAAGTCCGAAACCCAACCCCCTTCCCTGTAAACAGAACTCCTAAACCCTGAAGCCTACACCCTACACACCCTACGCCCCACACCCTAAACCCTAAGCCTAAGCCCTGAACCCTAAACCTTCCCTAAACCCTGAAATCCCAATCGCCAAGGCCCCCCTGAGGCCCCATCCACGAGCTGGGGACGCCAGGGCTCCGGGGACAGGGGCCGCCCTTTCGGCTTCGGGTGTCTTCGGGTTCAGGGTTTAGGGCTCAGGGTTTAGGGTTTAGGGTTTTTGGTTCGAGGCCTTGAGTGTACTGGGGTTTGGGTGTCAAGGCTCCAGAATTTGGTGCGGGTGCAAAGGGTTAGGGTTTTCGGCTTAGGAGTTGAGGGCTTTAAGGGATTTAGGGCTTAGGGTACCCTAAGCCCTAAAACCTAAACCCTAAACCCTAGACCCTAAACTCGTTTGCAATCTTGGGACTGTGGGACTGCGACGAAATGAGGAGTTACAACGGTGATACCATGACAAAGGGGCGACATTGTGAGAGTCAGGTGCATAACCTTCTGCCGCTGATCCTGTGTTGTCTATTGTTGCAGTATGGCCGGTTCCATTACTGTAGGTACGATTATATTAAGAAGACCATGTTCTATATGTTTATGGTATTCTGCATTGCAAAGCAAATGGGCATGCAATAACTGCTCAGGATTGAAGAATCTGGAGATCGACAGAGTACAAGTATCGGCAAGCGCACGAGGAGCCAGCACCTTTCGCCCCAAAGCCCTCTGGGTGGCCAAACCCTTCCCCCTCCCCTTCCCCCCCCCCCCCCCCCTGCTCCGAACTTGGGCCCAAACGGACCCAACTAGTAGTAGCCCCCACTTCAATTCGAACAGCGATGCAGGGGCTCAATTCGGCAAGGCCTGCGTAGGACGACGATCTGCGGATCTGACCAGCACGTATCTGTCCGGTCACCTCGCCAGCAGGCAGAGATTCAAAGAGGCATCTTAAAGGAAGCGAAAGCTATGCGGCACACCCTTCGGTCTGGTCTACGAAATATCGGGACCCTAGCTCAGATACCACAAGGCTTCATATGCAAGCGATCTATCAAGCCAACCCTCCTCAAATCTCCTAATGCCAATAGCTGCTCAATTGTCCCACTTGACATAATGTGGGAGGAAGACAGAAGTCCAGACCCTGGGTGTCCACTGTGGCGCGCCTCCCCGTAAGCGGAGCGAGACGGTTGTCGAAGTGCAGGAATCGGAGCACCCGGGCTGCCCTGACTGAAGGCCTTGCCAAACTACTCACGGGCCCTGCCTGACAGGGAATACGACCTAGATCCCTCCTACCATCTCAAAGCTCATGAGGCAAGTGGGCCTGGGCTGGTTCTGGCCAGGGCGCCGACACCGGCTCGAAGCCTGTAAGGCGAAAGCTTCATAGTGCAGGGTTTAGGAATCAAAGAGCGCCACTTACAACTCTCAAGTCGAATCTTCATCTGTTCTTCTAGAATGGAGGCTCTCACATCAACCAAGGCCACGTCGCCCACAAACCCAAAAAGCCCTGCATGGGCAGCGACCCACAGACAGACAGACAGACAGACAGACAGACAGACAGACAGACAGACAGACAGACAGACAGACAGACAACAAAATGGTCAAGACAAGCGCGTCGGCTGCTGTGCATGCGTCATCGAGGCCCTGTTTCGTGCGTCGAGCTTTGCACCGGCCTGCAAGGCCTTCAACAACGTTAACTTGATGCCACAGCTTCTATCCAGCAATAGGGCGCGTACAACATTGCCAAGTAGATGTGACAGCACACGTGCTGGCCCAGTGCAACAGGGGAAGGTGGGGAATATTGATGCCGTAGGATCTGTAGGGATCAATCCCCCGACTCCCTATAAGCCATCAGTAGGCCATGCCTGGATTTCAGGCTTCAGAACCCTGCCCTCATGCACCTTCCCGCCAGCCGCAGAGGGCATCCAAGGTTTGCTGGAGCTGCACAGCGGGCGCCGTCGGTTGGTATGCCGCTGCCGCGGAGGGCGGTGCTTGCGGTGATTCGCTGAGGACCTTACACGTCCACTTCGTGCCTCCTAATTAGTGCTCGACACGCCAACTGCAACATGCTTGCCCCCGAGCCTTCGCGATGCGCTTGAGCTCGTGACCTGGGGGGGAGACTGCGGGCGAAAAGCCGACGACTTCCCGCATCACGTCGATGGTTTAAAAATAAGAAGTGAGGGAACTTGGAGCTGATCTAAGCTAGTAAGCTAGTGGTCCTTTCGGGCTGCTCAGGTCTCCCGTAGAAGGGCTTTTTGGAGGTTAAAGGCGCCACAAAGGGCCCCACCTCTTGAATCAACCCCCCATGTCGCACCTGAAAACACTAAACGCTATTTCGCTAAACCCTAAACAACCCAAGAGCCCTTTGGTGAAGAAAGAAGAAGACACCCAGCAGATCAAAAAATCGCCGACCTGCCAGTGAGGCTCTCAGGCATCTGCCGATTCGCTCGATGAGGCTCAGGCCTGTTCATTGAGGAAGTTGGGCTTAGGGTTTAGGACTTTAGGGGCTCCACCCCGATATACGTACTTAGGGACTGCTGAAAACGTTCAAGGGGGGCGAGCACTGGCAAGTTGACATCCAATCGCAAATCGAGTGAAGTTGCAGCAGCGGCCTCAAAGCACCAAAAACCGATTGGCCGTAAAAAAAAACAAACTCTGAAAGCTGCAGGATGCCCCCCCGGCCATGGCGCCTCCTGCAACGGCACTGAGTCCCAAGCTGTCTCGCCTGCACCGACCGCCGCCCAAGACATGCAGATGCCCCGAGGATACATCTTCGAGTTCTCAGGAATTCAAAACAGCAAACAGCAGCGGAGAGCCCTCAACCCGGACCCAGAAATCGACATCTCGCGGCACTCGAATCGCGGCACTCGAATCGCGCCGCGGACCCCGGGCCACATGCCTGCCAGACGGCGCTGCCTCTGAGGGACGCTAGCGATCTAAGTACGTGCTTCAAGATTTTGAGGCTTCCCTACTTGCATAGCTCGGTGCATATGTCTGGTGCTGTACAACGACAGAGCGGCCCCTAAAGCCCACAACACAAACACTCTACGACCTTGGATTTCGTGCGTTAGGGCCCACACCGTTTGCGGGGGCACCAGCACGTCGCCTTCAGTTCGGCAAGAGGCTTCGGGTGGTATCTCAGATTCAGGATTGGGGGGCAGACTGGGGTAGGTCCGGGTAGGTTTGGGGCCCCATAAAAAGCAATTCTTCATGGCTTTGTAAGGATTATGTGGGTTAACCTATCCCTCGAAACGGATCAGGGAAAAGGATCATGAACTCTAAACTCCTTTCGGGGATAGGCCGCAGGACTCGTGCGTCAGCCCCAAACCTCCCAAACCCCAACTCCTTGCTCCAACCCAGCAGGCTCCCGCCACGTGCACGGCGCGCCTCGGCTGCTGAAGTTGTCCTGACACACCCAAGAAATTACAGATGGGATCTGAATCTGAAACCCAGATTCAGATCCCATCTGTAAACAGATGACCGGAAAACGAGGCCCCCCCCCCCCCCCGAACCCCCCGGCCTTGCCCGGCTCGGGCCAAGGAGGTGGGGGCTCGAAGCCTACGTGACAGGCGATATTTGGGGTTTAGAGCTTAGGCTTTCGGGTTTCTGGGCTTGGGTTTAGGGTTCAACCATTGCACCCTTGTTGCGGCTATGCCAAGTGTCAGCTGGCCCTTTAGCATGAGATGCGACGACCCTGAACAAAGTTGAGGTGGGCTTCTCATTGCTTTCGCGGGCGCCATGAACCTTCGGAATTCTCGGCATCCGGCATCCGCTCCCGTTAAATACTCTACTAAACTATACTGTACTATACTACATTATATGATATTGCGCTGTATTGGTTAGCTCTAGATATCTTCACTTGGAACTTGGCTCTGCTTCTTTACGTGGAGCCTTGACAACTCAACCCGAACCTGAGAATCTGCAAGCCCCAAACACTGAACCCTGACCTAAAGAAACACACTTCCCTCCCATAGTCTGACACCACAAACCCTGAAGATCTGACATCCTGAACTCCAAGACGTGAAGCCCTTACCCCCAACGACCCCTCAACCCTAAACCCTAAACTTTAAACTCCCATAGGCCCTGCAACCCAAACCCTCAAGCGCGGGGCCGGTGCCAACCGGCACAGGCGGCGGCATTCCTTGATGGAATGCAGGGGGGCGGGGGGGGGGGGCACGCGGGCACCTGGAAAACCCCTTCTGCGGGCACTCAAGCGCCAGCACGAGACCAAGTACGGACAACCTGTGCCTATCTAACTGTATGCTCACCTATATGGATGTGATTCCAGCAATTTCTTTCAGCTCTCTAGGTTAACATGTCAAGTTGCATCTTCACATGTAACGCAGGGGCCTAAGTAACCCATGTAGCTGTAGTAAACCTCATGCACAAGCCCAAAACCTGCACTTGCTGCGGCCTAGCCTTATTCTCGACTATCAATCTCGCCCTGGTTCGTTGGGATTTAGGGTCCAGGGTGTAGGGTTGGCTTTTGAGTGGGTTTCGAGCCCACCCATGAAGCAAAAGAACGCGCACAAAACCCCAAACCGCCCTGTAACCCTGAACCCATGAGGCCGAAGCGAAGCCATCTTGGTTCGTGGCTCGCCTGTGCAAGAAGCTGTTGTCGAATTTTAAAGTGTTCACATTGTTCCCTTGTCTGTTGTAAACCCTGAAAAAGTCGGAGGTGTAGTGCATTTCTGCGAGTAACCCCTAAACCCCAAAAAAGGCAGCCAGAAAACCCTTCTCCTAAGCCGGTGTCAGCCATCCAAACACCATGGATCCACAAACCGAAGAAGGCCCTGCATCATGGGTTCGCAGACCCTCGCAAATCCTTCCGTCTTGGGCCGACAGCATACATTCCGAATCTTCGACTCCCCTGCTGCCTTCATTCTCATCCCTTTGGGGCCAATTCTTGCATTCTTGTCATGGATGTTACTCTGTTCAGAATTCCCGTTCTAGCTTGCCAGTCCGATCGAATCCCCCACATGTTCTCTCCGAGTCCCGCTCGAAGCCCTCCTTCTTCTCACTTCTGAATCTGAGTCCCTTCTACCTGGAACCAACAACGCGAAGAAAACGGTGCTTTCAAGACCTAAGTGTTTGGAGAGCTGGGGGGTTGCGGGGGGAGGGGCTACGGCTACAGGATGTGAGAAAAGGCCACCACACGTAGAAGACCCCGCACTCACACCCGCAAACCCTCTCGGCCCCCGGGCAGAGTGTCGGCCACTACGCGGCATGCGCCGGCAAGGTGCCGCCGCAACGGCGCTGCCGCGGAGAGTCCATGGCAGGGGTTAAGGGAGGAACAGCTCGTTGCCTAGTTGGATTGGTGGGATGATCACGCCAACACGGGACCTGGCTTTGAAAGCCATCGTTGCTAGCATGCTGATATTCGCAGCTTGACTCGGGGCACTACAACGTTCAGGACTTTGAGCAAGGTGGGGTGGCAGGGAGAGGGTGCGTTGAGAAGCCATGCAGGGGTTGAAGGGCTGAGGGTGTATGTAGGACTTGGATGCTGCAGGGCTTCAGAAGTAAGTAAGGTTGCCACAAGTCTAGGGTTCGGTGACCTGCAGTGAACCCAGGCAGCGAAGGTGACGTGTCATTTCGTACAAGCATCCATCATGACCCAGCGGGCAAGACTGAAGACTGCGACAGACAAAAACTAGCACTCGCACACGCGCACACGCACGCACCCACGCGCACGCGCACGCGAACACACCCACACTCACTCACTCTCTCTCTCTCTCTCTCTCTCTCTCTCTCTCTCTCTCTCTCTCTCTCTCTCTCTCTCTCTCTCTCTCTCTCTCTCTCCCTCTCTGACAGACACACACACACACATACGAGTTCTGACATGAGTGATGCACGTGTCTCTGTCAGCTTCTCCGATGCGGCTTTGCCAGAAGCTTTGCTAAAGGCTTCAGCCACAGAGCTGGGCAGCCCGATGCTTTTTGAGGCGAAGGTGAGGAGCAGGATATTATGCACACATATTCTGCGACGCTAGTATAGATTTCAGTAGAGACTAGTAAAATGGACTTTGCCGTTTTCGGTGACTGACTGCGACTATGTTGACTTACATGTCTGATGCCATCTACCGTGCGATAAGGTGTCTGGATCAAGGATTCACTGCCCAGCAAGAGACTTTGGCACCTTCTGAGAAGCTGCAGTGGCAGATGAATTCGGGAACTGTTCAAAGTCAAATGGTGCACGAACCGGCTGTCAGGCTCCAAGAATCCTCACATCTAAAGCATTTCCGGCATTGAATCATGAAGGCTAGGTGCGAGCGCTACAGGGTTAATGAGTTACGTTTTGTAACCCATAAAGACTACTCTACTAAGTGAGGAGATGGAGCCAACTCTGCTTGGCAGATGGTCGTGCCTTGAACAGGATGGAAACTTCGTCGACACATTGCTAGGCAAAGGATTCACGAATTAAGGGTGCAAAAGCCTTGAAAACGAAATCACGGCCTCAAGCCGACATGTCCCTCAATCACTCAAGGTCCAGCCCTCCATCAGCGGCAATCAATGCTCGCGTCCGGCCCCCTGCTTCTGCTGCATCTCGCTGAGCTTGCCCTGCTCGCGCGAAGCAGCCTGCCAGCAGGACTAGGGCTCAGGTGTGCTTGGGATTTAGGGGCTTTGGGGCTTTAGAGAAAAGAGGGCCATGGGGCTTAGGGCTGCGGCTTCAGGAGTGACAAGAGCCTTGCCAGACAACCCGAAGCATATGGATCTCCGTATTCATAAATGTGTGTCTGCTTACTTGCATACAGGACTTTTTGACAAAAAAACACACAAAAGAACCACGAAAATATTTGGGGCGGGTCCATCAGGCTCGGTTTAGGGTTTAGGGTTTAGGGTTTAGGGTTTAGGGTTTAGGGTTCAGGGCTTAGGGTTTACGGTTGAGGGTTTACGGTTGAGGGTTCAGCCAACTAGATACTCACAAAGAAAGGATGTGAGTTCAATTGTGCTTCAGCACCCTTAAATCCTCTACCGCTCTGACTAAGACTCTTTGTGCCTTCTCCGCCAACTCCCTGGCTTGCTGAGCTTCGCTCAGCCATGCAGACCTCGGGCAAAAGCCTAAGCCCTAAGGCCCTAAACATTCTAGGGTTGAGGGTTTAGGGTTCAGGGTTCGGGGTTCGGGTATAGGGTGTAGGGTTTGGGATCTAGAGTTAAGGGCTTAGGGTTGCAGGCTTCGGGCTCTTGAGGCTCAGGAAGCCCTAAACCTCCATCCCGTTTCATGACACACTCCGCACCTTGAGCCTCCCGGAAGTCCTGCGATCGCTTGCTGCAAATTCAGGTGATCTGCTAGTGATCTACTTGGGACCAATACCCCGGCCCCAAAAGGCTAAAAACCTTCACCCTAAAGCTTACCTGTTGCGCCACGAAGTCGAACAAGGGTTATGCATTTTACCCTTGCCATCCTTCAGCCTCTCCCCAATGCAGGGTAGGAGCAGCTCTGAGTAGGCTGCGTTCTCCGTCCTGTCTGTCGAATCTTTGGGTGTCTAAATTCGGGTGTCTCAAACTTTGGATTTTGGGGGGTGTGCCGAAAAAGGTTTGCGCTGAAAAACGGACAGAAACCTCTTTCCCTAAACCTGGCACCCTGAACCCTACACGTCGGCTCGGGATTGGCTCTTTGTGGCGACCCCACTGGCCTCTCCACCAGGTTCTCGATGTGACGGATGTTCGCTTTGTCCACGTCGGGCAGCGTTTGCCACCAGAGCATCCTCGACATCTTGGAGGACTTTTGGGGTATAGGTTGGGGCACTGGGAATCATGGAATCCCGTGGTAGTCAACCAGAAATGGCGCTTACCTCCAATGCAACCCAGCATCATGTTCCGAAGTATGCCCACAACGCTGCCATATCGCTCCAGCTTCTTGTCTACGCCCGAGAACTCCTGCTCACGCGGGCTCCGCAACTGCCGGTCCGGTGCACCGGAACACATCGGAAAAAGGACCAGGGATGCCAGAAGTGATGGCCCTCTTTGGGCACTAAAATAAGGTGTGTCTGGTTTATAATTCTGGGGGTGCTGCTCTTTCTTCTCAGTTGATGAAAACTCCAAGGGATTTAATTGGTTATTCTACGGGTTGGTTATTCTACGGGTTATTTTCTTAGCCTGGTGGATTGTGGTTTCAAAAGGGTGTCGGGTTAAGGCCAAACCGAACATTTAAGCGGAGGTTGCCAGGCCGCTTGCAGGACTTGAGGCCAGAGCGCAGGTGCAGCATAGGTTGAGACAGCAGCTAGCAGAGGCAAATGAGCAAGGGGAGCGAGCCATGAGGGAAGTAGTGATGGCAAAGGGTGCAAAATCACAGACCTGGGCCAGAAAAGCATTATGACCATCGTCAGCGGAAATAATCTACGGCCGTGAAATACCAAGGAAGTCCTGCCACGATCCCAGTGCGCTGGAGATGCTCACGACAATGGCCGTCCAGGAAGTCTGGTCGGCCGCCGACAAGACTGCTGTGAGGGTGGTGGAAATCATGAACAAGGCTTGCATGAGCAGCCGCCTGGGCACTGGGGGGGGCCGAAGTTTCGAGTCTTAAGCTGACCCTTCGGTGCTCTTTTCCGACTTGACGAGGAGCTCCAAGCCCCAGGACGCTCCCAACCAAACCCTACACCTTTCGATAGGGCACGCAGTTGATCTAGGGCTTCCCGAGCATCTTTAAAGGGCTTGCATGACAAGCCGCCGGCGCTGGTAGGTTGGAATACCTTAGATGCCCAGACATTGCTAGCCATTCTCGAAAAATCCTTTGAGGCAATAGGCCCTAATGCTTCGAACTTTGATCCCCGAACTTCGAAACCCTCACTCCCAAACCCTCAACTTCAGATGGCCCTCGCTGATCTCGGAGCCCCACCCCTCAAACACAACCGGCTGCCACGATGCGCTTCTGGTAAAACCTCAAGAGTGGAGACAGCCTCCAAGCGATGTAGTCATCTGGGCTGGCCGGTGCATGGTGGCTGTCCTTCGGGCAGCGTCTTTCTGGGTGTGATCTGTAAACCCTGAAAGCCACTAAGCCCTAAACCATTGGAGCCAAACCCTCATCGCTCCCGCTCCGAGCGAAACCAGGTCCTCGGCGTTTGGTGGATCTTCGGGCGTCGCTCGCTGGTACTGCTTGTGCTTGAAGTGGGCGGATGTCAGCCTATACTGGCCTCAGAATGGGAAAGGATCCTAAACCCCAACCCCAGAATCTGCCCGGCAGCCACACCACAGGAGGGGGAGGGAGGGGAGTCGATCATGACCGTCAAGCCTCGAAGCCTGAACCCTACTAGTAATTCCCCAAAACCTGAGCCGAAGCCCTAAAGAGCTCAGCCCTGCAATCCTACAACCCTACATCGCTAGAATCCGAAGGCCCAAACTGTAAAGCCAACCCACAGCCACACCACAGCGGGTATGGGGACGGAAAAACTTACACCCCAAAGCCCTGAAAACCAAAACCAAGCCCTAGAACCATGTGCTTATATATGTACAAATGAATGAATGAATGAATGAATGAATGAATGAATGAATGAATGAATGAATGAATGAATGAATGCATGAATGAATTAGATGAATGAGTGAATGAATGCACGTACGCACGTATGTATGTATGTATGTATGCATGTATGTATGTACGTATAAATGTATAAATGTATGTTTATGCGTTTATGCATGCGTTATACATTACATTACATTACATTACATTACATTACATTACATTACATTACATTACATTACATTACATTACACTACACTACATTACATTACATCACATCACATCACATCGCATCACATCACATCACATTGCATTGCATTGCATTACATTACATACTGTGAAGGTGTACCGGACTTGCAACCCTGCGCAAACGCGGACACCCAAAATGTCTTGCAGCTTCGCGAGTCGAGCTCCTATGGCCGTCCCTGGGAGCCCGCGTCAGGTCAGACCGCAGGGCAGCTATCTAAACGCAACTGCCAGGATTTACTGTGCGCCAAGGCACAAGCAAAACTCACACTTGAGGCCAAATATTTGCATTTGAAAATCTCACGACCACGTCCTTCACCGTCTCGCCCAAGACCTCGGAGAAGCTGCGCCGCAACGAAGCATTATGAGCGAAAAACAGCGCCTTTGCACTATTCTCCAAGAGTCCATAAGCTCGAGAAAACAGTCGCCAATCCGGAGCACTGCGCATGCCTCTCCTGCAGAGGGGCTCGCCCAAGATCTGTCATCGAGGAAAAGCAAGTTGATTGTAGAGGGCCATTGCTGCTTGATCTTCCTGAAGCCGAAAGACAAAACTGCGAACCCAAGCACACATCGGTACAGCAGAAGGAAAACTGAGAACCATTCGCTGATGTTCCCCACCAGCACTCTGCATGGAGGGCTCCAGTTGGCAAAAAGCATCTCAAACATGTGAGAGAAGTAGATGGCTGCACCCTAACACGGAGCGGAGCCAAAGTGGAAAGGAACCGCATGTCCTTAGCTGAAACAGCGACCTTAGCTGATGCAGCAGGCAGCATGGGAGGGTTCCTAGCCAACCCCCTCGGAAGCCTGCGGTCTGCCGGCCCACTCTTTCCTAGTGAGCAAGATAACTCTGGCGCGGATCTTACCCAGCTGAGACAAACAAGCATGGATGCCCGCAGGCTTGACCAGAGTGACGAAGTGCGACCGTCCGTTCACCCAGACTAGTGGCAAAATGTCGCGCTTCTGTCCTTCCACAGCCCGCATCTGAAAAAACAGCTTCCCACTGATCTTGCGCATTCTTCTCCCAGACCAGGACATCGCAGTTGCACACCTTTGCCGCCGCCTCGATGCCCAATCCACATATCCATCGCTTCTTTCGATAAAAAGCCTCGCAAAGCTCACCAGCATTTTGAGGCACGGGACCGTCTTCTCGTTCAGCTGTAGCTTCTTTGTCTGGCAACCAGGTTTGCTTCCACTCATCATGCTCCTTGAGGTAGTTCGCGCACTTCCAGCGGTGAGTATCACCCAAAGCAGGCAATTTAGGCTTTGTTTCGTCGATGGTCCTTTTGTTCTTCTGTGCCAGAGCGAGCGCCAGGGATCGAAACCCGCACTCTCCACCGCCGCCCGCGTCAACGAGCTGGCAACCACCAGGGCCCAGGAGGCCTTCGACGCTGCTGGTCTTGCCGTCATCGGCAGCGCCTGCAGCTGAGTCTTGAGTCTTGTCTCCACGCGACTTCTTTTTGGGAGGCGACAGCCCCAAGGTCCATGAAGAAACCGGCCTCCGCGGAGCCGGGGGTTTGTCTGGTTCTTGTGGCACAGCCTTCATGTCACCGTCGTCTGCAGTGACGCCATCATGGTTGTCGTCTGCGTCCATAAGCCCAAAACCACTTTGAGCCAGCCAAACGCTTCTCTTCTTTTTCAGCCGTACGCGTTTTCTTCCATGGTTCCAGAGAGATAGCGACTTCTGTATCCTTGATTTTGACCATATAGACAAAGAGGTCCTGGTCGGCCTGAGGGGCCACACCGCCCACAAGCCAGCCATGAGCAGGCCGTCTCGGTGGCGTCAAACGGTCGCCAATCTTCCCTCCTTGACTTTCAAGGAATTTGCACAGTGTGACAGGCCCCCACGTGGAAGGCACATTCTTGACTGTAAAGCTTTTCATTTTGCCCGGTTCTTCAGGTAGGCCGATAATGCCAAGGTTAGCACCACGGCCTTTTCTGCGCGCCAAGGGCTTCCCCGCCGCGGTTGCCTTCACCGCATCGGAGAAGTTCTTGCTCGTCCTCCTTGACCTTGACATAGCCAATCAGGAGCTTGGAGTCGCGGTCGCCGAAAATTTTCCAGCCATAAGTCTTTAGTTCGCCAAACTGCTGAACAGAAAGCCCAAGCTGAAGAAGACATTTTGCAGGTCTGTCGTTGAGCTTCTTCCAGTCGTCCATGAAGCACTGCGCTGCACAGAGACGTAGCGTGGTCATGGCTGGGGGGTTAAAAGAGCCAGCCGCCTCTCCAGCCACCTTTGCCTCTGCAACTTTCATGCCAAAGTTGACTTCGCCTTTTTGCAGGCCACAAACCGAGAACTTCCGAGGCAAGCCGCCTTCCACTGGCAGCCATCGAAGAGTTGCAGCCTCTTGAGGAGGACCTTCGCCGTCGTCCACTACCAGAAGTGTGGCCTGTTTCTGTAGCGAGTGCAAGGCCGCAAGGGCCCACATATCTTTGGCCTGCTTTCGATAGCAAACAGTAGTTTTTCCCTCCACTTCGATGCCCTCCTCAAGCAATCGCAGGAAGTTTCCCCATCCGACCACTTCGCCTCGTTGCCAAAGGATTCGCGGCGTCTTCAAAGCAGCCTTCTGCTCCTTGTCCTCTGCTCGATCTTTCTTCCAAAGATTGGCATTGTAAAAGCTCTGCTTTGCACTGCTCTGTAAACCAGCCGGAGAGGGAGAAACAGAAGGCCTCCTCGAGGAACCAACATGTCTCTCAGCACTCGCGTCCTTGTCAAATTTGTCAAGTATGCCGCGAAGTTCATCTCGCAGCGTTCTGTTGCGTTTGGGGTCATCTTCAATCTTCTTCATGAGGTCGCGCAGTTCGCAGAAAAGTGAATCTTCATCGCCAACGTCCTCGTCATCCTCATCCTCGAGCGCTGAGCGGATGGCTTCAATGAGCCTATTCTCTTTCTGTTTACGTCGAGAAGCCGAAGCCCCTCCAGCCATTCCTCCTAGGATTCCCTCATGAGGGAATCCTGATCACGCGCGCCACCCCTGAACAGAGCTGCGAGAACACTGGCTTGCTCAGCGGCCAGCCATTCACGAGGCCAACAGCGGCCCTCACGCAGCCTGCCCAAGGTGTAGTGCTCTTTGCGGAGAAGCAAGACCACAGGGTCTTTGGCAGTTTTGGGGGTGCCGAAACAGACCGGATTTCCGGCACCAGGGTCCAAGGGGACTATTATGATGAAGATTCCATACCGCCGGGCGGCGGCCTTGAAACTAAGTCCATCAATCCACCTTCCATCGCGCAGGGACGCGTCCAAGTAGGACTGCCAGTCGGTCGGCACCGGCCCGGCTTCTGTGGTCGCGTTTGCCTTGGCATCGACCTCGAACCACTGTTCATAGTCATATTTTTTGCTACCTAGGTGCTTGAAAAGGTCGTGGCGCACCGTCTTGGCCCGGATTGCCATTTCCTTTCTGAACGCATCAGCGTCGGTGAACTTTTCACCTTTGTCAAAGGACAAGGCCGCAGCCAGGCAAGTGTATCCACACCGTGCCTTGTCGGTACTGGACTGCGTGTCCTCGACCGTTTCAGGAATCGGGGCACTGGCGACGAGCTCGCCATTGGCTTTGGCGACCTTGAGTTGTGGGCGGATGCGAGAGACCACTTCGGGCTCCTTGGAGCCCCGACCTTTGACTTTGGTAAGGAGAAGAATCCCCTCCACGTTGGCATCTTCAATTGCCACAAGACCGGTAGCATCCGGATCAGCAACGACGGCCTTAACCAACCAAGTTCTGTTACGCTTGCCAGGAGGCCGGAGCACGGTGACATCTCCGCACCCTGCTTTGCACAGACACCAGAACGTCATGCGCATACCAGGCTTTTGGGGCGTTGGAGAGCTTTCAGGCGTGTAACTGAGGCTTCAGTTTCTCACTACCCAATCGGAGGCCCAGAAAGTTCCCCCCCCCCCCCGGCCGGAAGGCTGCCTATGGAAACTCCCTCCTTGGCCGCGTCCTCACTCACGCGGGCATAGTACTGGCTCGGTGTTTCATCGGCCAGCTTTTGCTCCCACCAGACGGGCCTTTTGAGGCCTTGGGCATCCCCAACCTTTTGAAGGAACAGGCCACCCTTCCCATCGTGTTGCAGGACCTTTGCATCGAACTTGGAACCAGTTCTAAGGAAGCCTTGCAGAAGGATCTCAGGAGATCCGGTCCTGTTTGCCACCTTTTCCTCACGCCATCCATAGCACGAGTGCACCTTGTCACCCATCACTTTCTTGACAGTAAGTGGCGGGTTCCTTTTAGTGGTCTCCCAAGCATCCTTGCTCATGGTGCTTTGAACGAAAGTGACCCGGTAAGTCACGAGCTGCAGGTCAGTCGCAGGGCCACTATCGGAAGTGACCTTGACCGGCTGTTTGTGCAGCTTGGGGAGTTTGGTAACCAGGGGCAGGACCCAGCACTTGGTCAACCCGATCTTGCCCACATCGAGGGTCGGAAGAAACAAGGCTTCCCCGC